ATCTATTGACGTACCAAATAACCAAATAAGCAACTCTTCTTTTTACAACTAAACATTATTAGAGCATAACTAAATATGTTAACAACAAAGCATATCATTATTGATGATTCATATGTACTGTATGACATGCATACAGCAAATTAAACGCAATGAAACATAACTTATAATAACTATGGAAAAACATTAATGAATAAATAATTAATCAAAACAAAATTTATTAGGACAAATTGGTTTTAATAATCCCAACTTTGAATTATTATTGAATAATCCCAACTTTCAGGTTTGTTTGCTTTCATTGAACTGAAATGACCGGTAACCTAATAAACAAGCTAATTCTTTATTTTAAGTTATAAATTTCCACGTGTCGTTGTCTGATAGGTTTAATCTTTCCCTTCCCCTTACCTTTTCTCTCTCCTCCCTTGAACCTGACCACCACCTCCCTCCACCACGCCACCGCCTTCGGTTGCCCACCACAACAACATCAAACCCATTTCCCTTCTCCCTAAACCGCCGACAACTCCAATCACTAGTAGAAAAAGGGAAATGCGCACTAGTTCAAAACCGAATTTTCGCACTGGTTTTAAACCGATTTAGATTTGAGAGATGCCAAAAAGTGAGATTATTCGTACCGGTTCAGAACCGGTGCGAATAATGCCTACAATTTTTTAAAAAAAGTTATTCGCAACGGTTAACCAGTGCAAATAATGCCCAAAAAAATTAAAAAAAAAATAGAAAATTGTTTTTTGCATTTTTTCACCTATATGACAACACACAGTTGTATATAGTCATATTATATCTAAAACACATATCTTTTTATCAATAACTTGTAATTTTACACTTTTCATCCAAAAAATGAAAAATTATAAATTTAAAATGACCAATTCCAAAATAGCAGAACAACAACAGCCTAGTTGCCGAGCAGCAGTAGCTGTAGAGCAGAACAAATACCTATGCAAAGCAAATAATGAACTAGTTAGTTGATTAATCTAAACCAAACAAAATCAAGAAAATCTTTGAAATATCTCGAAGATTATTATAGAAATCCCCACACTTTATTCCAACACTAACAAAAGTCAGTAATTTCCTTGACGAAACTAGATTCTTACTGATATGAAATCCACACAAATTTCACAATTTACTAAGCTTAAAAATCCAAAGACAATAATTAGTATAATCTGAAATGAAACAATGACAATTAGGATCAAGAATTAGTTTAGCCAAAAACCCCAAAGCTAGACATGTTTGTGCTGTGTATTTATTTATTTATTTTTTTTTTTAAATCAATCCACCCGTAAAGTATCAAACAAACTAAAACAACACATAAAAGTATGCCTAAGTGATAAGGATAAAGATACAAAAAATTGTACCAAAGTTTCAACCATTTCATTATGAGATACATATGACAAGTCTGTGAAGATTAAAATAGGAAGTGATTAATTACCCATTGTCCATTTTAATCATTCACATTTTAATGTGAAAATTTAGGAAGTGATTAATTACCCATTGCCCCTTCTAATCATTCACATTCTAATCATATAAATAGCATAAACAATAATCAAATTCACAATAAAACCAACTCTATAAAATTCAAGAAACTAAACAAGAAGACTAAAATAGGAGCTAAAGCAAAGGAAACAAAGAGCAACTTTAAAAATTCATCCTAATACACAAAACCTCAATTAACACACCAAGAACAAAGAGCAATCAATTATTATACCAATCAATCCAGCAACTCTAAATAATCAAATTAATTTCATCATGTATGAAATTAGTTTAACACAAACAGAGAGCCAACATTGGCTTAGCTACCTTGACAGATTAGTTGGGCTATCTTTGATATCAAACTCTTATGAGTATGGTATGTTCGATGGTTTCAAATTTAATGTGTTGCTGTTACAAAATTAGTTTTCTTTTTTTGAACTATCATAGTCCAAGAAATATTAATAGACAGGCCAAACATAAAACAGTACAAGTAATTTTCAGTAAAGGTTACACTCATTTCAAAGATAGCATCAACATCAAAACAGGGCGCTTTCATCCCTTGTGGTAGTGCCACTGCCACTTCACTAAAGTTACAATTTATCCATGATGACACTTATTTTAAATTCAAAGCTATTTCATGTATAGTATAATAGATTTTTACATACATGCTACATCAAAAGAGAGTTACTGACTAGGATCCATGGAGTGGGGGTGTTTGAGCTTAGGTACATAAACAAGGAGACCATCTCAAACAAAACTTCCAAATTATGTGGGTTATACTAGATACAAACCAAAGGATGAAACAAGAGAAAAATATAGATAATTCAGCTTATACGCTTTACAGAGATCTCCTCCAAAGCTCTCCCTAATCCCCCGGCCCCCGCCTCAGCTAAAGCAACCTAAGAAATGTTGAAAGGACTATTATCTTCCTTCATAAGTCAATGTTTTAGTAGCATCGTTTTGACATGACTAACTATTTATCAGAGAACATATAACATTCATACACTCTGCAACCATACACACAAGCTTATCAACCATAAAATACTGGGTGTGACTCCATATATACTAGAAGCGATGTTAAAATATTGGGAGCTAATAAAATTAAGCAAATAAAAAAAATCAATCAATTAAAAACATGTTCACCACATTCATTGAGCTCATCACATCATAACCACAACTAATCCGAGCAGCAAAATCATCAATACAACCAAAACAATCAAAAATCGCATCTTCATCACTACAACCACAATCAAACAATACCCTAATTTCAAATCAAAACAACCAAATCTCAACCAAATAAAAAAATTAATCTCTTCAAATCAAATAAGGGGTAGATCTGGACTCATGTTCATCACGAGAAAGAGGGGATTTGGAGACGATTGACGATGAGGCGGCGGGACACAATGAAGAAGAGGAGAAATCCAAGCATCGATCATCGTCACCATAATCACAAGAAAATAAAAAATAAAAAATCAGAAACCCTATCATATCACCATTAAATTCAATCAAAATTTCAATTGTTCATCATTAATTACAAAAAAAAGTATTTAAAAATCAGAAACCCTATATTTCAAATCAAAGAGCACATACCTTCGCGAAGAGATCAATCACCACTACAAAGATCTGGCGCCAGTGAAGAAATAGACCTGTCACCATCGACGCCGCGATGGTTAGTGCGATGGTAAATGAAAAAGATAAAAAGATAGAGAGCTGAGAGGAGATTGAATGCGAGGCCAGGTGAAATGGATAAAAGATAGAGAGCTGGGAGGAGAGTGCGCCGGCGGGGTGGAATGGACGGCGGTGCGGTGGAGAGAGGAAAGAGAGAGAGAACGAGAGATCGAGGAAAGAGAAAGAAAGAAGAGGGGAAAGAGAAAGAAAATAGAGGGGCGGGTTTTTTTTTACATTCGCATCGGTTCGAACCGGTGCGATTAACTCAAGTTCGCACCGGTTCGGTTTGAACCGATGCGATTACTCTTTAATTAACTCCCGCCTTGTTTTTTCGCATCGATTTTTAATAACCGGTGCTCATTTCTTGGTGCCTATTTATGTTTTTCTACTAGTGAATCCCTTCTCCAACGATTGATATATGTACATTAGGGTGGCTTTGAGGGTCGAAGGAGGTGGTTTATCAGGATGAAGGAGGTGGTTTCGGTGAGGGAAGTGAATGAAGGTGTTTTCGGGGGTGTAGGAAGTGAGGGACTGTGTTTTCGAGGGTGGGGGAAGCGTTAGAGGTAGTTTTTTGGGGATGGGGATTTAGGTTGGTTTCACGGTGGAAAGATGGAGAGAGTGAGGGCAGTTTAAGCCTTCCGGGAGGGTTAGGAGTGCGATTAGGAGCAATTTCGGGGGCTCGGCTTGGGAGGGGAACCATTTCCGATGGTGGCAGGGTAGGGGAGGGGGGCATTTTGGGTTGGGGTTTGGGCCAAGGGGCTGCCGGAGGTGGTGGGGTTTGGCAAAGTGTGCTGCCATAGTGATTGGGGATTTTACTTTTTTTTTGTAAAAAAAAATTTCTTAATTTTTTTATTTTTTATTTTTTTATTCTATCGACCAATCATGATTTGCCACGTGTCCTAGGTAACTTATTATATCAGATTGATGACCGATTGGAACCAATGAAAGAAATCACCCCTTAAAGTTGGGATTATTCAATAATAATATATAATCTAAACTTGGGATTATTAAAAGCGAATGGGCTAAAGTTGGGATTATAAAAACCAATTTTTTTAAATTAAAATATTACTACCCTACTTAGTAATTAGCTGGTAAGTAAGTTAAAGACAAGTTTTGTACTACTCTTTTACTCCACTTTGATTCTCTTTCATGATTTATAGTTAAAAAAAGAAAATTAAGTTAGAATCATATATTTTGTTCCTCTCAATTTATACCTTCATTATATCAACTTCTTATAATTTTAACATGTTAATTATTAAAGACAACGGTGATTGAGAGTAGAGGTATCAATTCAGAAACTGTGTTGGATTAGGTCCGATTGGGTCATTTTAACGTTAAGCCATGTTAAATTATTGTGTTCATTTATACAAACTAAGTCAAAATCTAAATAGGTATCATTGCTAAGGAAGACTATAAATCACAGCAACTTAAAAGAGAGTATAAAGAGTGTGCAATATGTAACAACAATCGTAGTTTTACTACACGGATAGATGTATTTATGTGATACATACAATTGTCATGTATTTATTAGATTCAAATCTCTTTACAAGAAGTATGACCTACTACAATAATTTCATAATTACAACAACTACGCCACTCAATTACCCAACATATATAATTCCAATAACATCAAAGCAAAGCTGAGTCACTTAATTCTTGTTCACATTACCCAAAAAAACTAAAGGCCAAAAAATGCTGAGATTGGTAGATTTTGGTACATTTTTTAAGCACAAACCAAGCCTTAATTAATTACTTGAATTTGACCAAAAACAACAACTCAAAATATTGCTCAAAAATACTTGTAGTTGGGGACCACAATAAATTCTACAAAAATGACGAAAAATACTTAAGAGGTTGAACTGAAAAAAGAGCTTATTCCAAAACATGTTGCAATAATGTTAGATGGTACTAGGAGGTGGCATAAGGCTCAAGGAAAACCTCTAAATTATGATCCCTTCTTTGAAGCTAACACTCTCTTTACTGATCTTTGTCTTAAATGGGGAATTGCTACTGCTACCACTTTTATTTCCTCTATCAAAAACCTACAAAGAGGCCAAGTAACTGTTCCTTTATCATCTCCTTCGATTATTAATTTTATTTTAACCTACAAAGAGGCCAAGAGGCCAAGTAATTTTTTTTTTTAACCTTGACTTCAGTCAACAACTACCATCACCTCCATGGCAGCCACCTTCTCCTTTTCCCATCAGCCATCCCCAGCTCCCCTCCCCTGCCTTTCCCGACCACCGGATAACCATCTCGATCTCCTCCACGTCCACCAAAAAACCCTATACCCCCTCCTCCACTAGAAACTCATATCTCACCTCCTCCCATCATAATAACAATGAATTAAATTATTTATATAATCATCGTTGTCAACAACTTTGTGAATCAATTAAAACTTTAAAAGCAAGCATCATCAAATTTCTCCCTTTGATGATAAAATTAGATGGCGTTATGATTGAATTAAAATCCATACTTTCAAGTCGCTACGTTTTTTCATGAATTTTTTTTTTTTTTTTTTTTTTTTGAGTTGTTTGAACATAATTAGAGCAAAGTTGAGAGTTGGGTGCAATTTTAGCATAATGGAGAACCATCTCTATGTATTGGGACTCAGGGAAGATATATCAAAGAAATTCCCATTAGAAAGATGGTAGTGGTGTTAACGAAAGTGGTACGGTGTAGTTGACGATGGTGGAATTGTTTCAGGACTAGGCTTGGGAGGGGGGGGGGGGGTTGTTTCAGGACTGGGGGAGGGAAGTGGCCGACGGGGAGGGGTTGGTGGCAGGTGGGGGGATGCCATGGAAGGGATGAGAGAGAAAGGTTAATGGAGGGGGAAATAAAAAAAAATTACACTATTACAACATAATACATGGCAAGTTTACCTATTCAACTGGTTATTAAAAGGTTAACGCCTAATAAAAGCAAACCTCCTCTAAAGTTTGGATTATTCAATAATAATTCAAATTTGGGATTATTAAAAGCAAATCAGTCAAAGTTGGGATTATTGAAACTAATTTTTTCAAAGAAATATTAGAGACGGAATTGAAAATCCGTCTTCAATTTAGAGACGAAATTAAAAATCTGTCTCTAAATTACATAATTCGTCTCTAAAATACGAAGTACTATTTTACATTATTTAGAGACAGAATTAAAAATATGTCTCTAAATTAGGGACGGAATTAAAAATTCGGAATTGAAATTCGTTTCTAGTTTAGAACGGATTTTAATTCCGTCCCTAAATTAAAGATGGATTTAGAAAATCCGTCTAATATAGAGACGAATTTTTAATTCCGTTTCTAATTTTTTTTTTTTTGGTTCATATGAGCCACTTAGGGCGGGGATGAGAATCGATCCCAGGATCACCTGTAACCGGGAGGAAAGCTCTTACCAACTGAGCTATCCCTCACTCTCAATTTCGTTTCTAATTCAGAGATAGATTTTTAATTCCGTCTCTAGATTATTTTAGAGATGAATTATATATGTAATTTCCGTTTCAATATTAGAAATGGATTGAATTCTATCACTAGTATTCCATTTCTATATGGAATATTTTTTGTACTGTGGGTGGTCAGCGCCGAAAAAATTAGACAACGTTGAAAATCCGATGAAAGGGAAGTCTTTTACAACATTTTTATTTTAATATGTAATTTCTTACAACATCTTTGTTATTAAGTATTTGCTCACAAAAAATGGCTTTTAATAGATAGTTTAGGACAAAAAGCCCTTGTCATAAAAGAAAATTAATGACCGATTTCAAAAAAATATTAAAAATGTCTATATAATATGATGGTATTTTTTGGACTTCAAATATGAAGTTGTTTAAATGCAATTTGAAATTACATAATAGCAATTCATAATGTGTGGCCAAAGAAATTAGATTTTACATAACGTATAACTTAATACTGATAGATATCATGTGAAAAATATTGACAATCTCACATCCATTAAATAATACAAAATATATAATTAAAGAAATAAGATTTTTCATAAATTTGTTGCTTCAATATATGTTGTTATTTTAACATTAAGGTCAAAAATACTAACATCTACTGTAGTAGACACAAGAAACATAATTAATTGAACCTTGTGATTTGATCCAGCTGCGTGCATTCCACTAAAATCTTTCTCCGATGGAATTGCAGGAAACTAATGATCTAATGTTCGGGCAACTTGAAAACTATTTAGAGAATAATCTGCAGAATTTTGTAAGGTATTGATTTACCATTGTGGCAGCACCCTTATCTAAATTACTAGTAATTCTGCAGGAAAGAGATAAAAGTCTCCATGATTGGAGAAAGACTGCTACTCCCCAAATCTTTACAAGACATTATAAAACAAGTGGAAGATGTAACAAGAACAAAGCACACAAAGAAGTTGGACTTGACGTTAGCAGTATGTTACTCAGGGACTAGAGATATAGTGCAAGCCACTAGGAACATTTGTGAAAAGGTCAAGGCTGGGGTGATTGAACCCAAAGCCGTCGATGAGGCCTTGTTTGATCAAGAGCTATGGACTCGTGGCGCGCTTCACCCTGATCTGCTCATCCGAACCAGTGGTCGCCTCCGTGTTAGTGATTATATGATGTGGCGGCTAGCCCAAACCAAAGGCGTTTACGTGTTTTTTTTTTCCAAAATTTGAGCTCAATTTTGACCCTTAAGGGCCAAAATAGCCCCCAAAATTTTTAACGGAACAATTTCTAACACGCAAATCGATAAAAAAATATTATTAAGTGGAAAGTGGGCTCCACTAACGGAATTTGTTAACGGCGAGATAACGACAAGGTTATCGTATAGAAACTAAATGTATTTTGAGGTTATAGTGTGGATTTCTCAAAAAGGGGCCGGGGGGCACATCGTAGAAAACGAAAAGTTAGAGGGTTACTATATAAAAAACACAAACATATTTTATCATAAAATATGTTGTTAGATAGGTATTAATATAAAGTTTTATGATATAATTTTTAGAATAACTTTCATTAATATTTAATCATATAAAAATAAAGTCAAACTTATGCATTGGCATGTGTGCATTGTTGACTGTATCATGTATTATGGGACAATAGGAGTAACAAGGAAGTACTCCTTCCGTTTCTATATGATAGTCCCATATGAAATCAATCACATAAAAAAAATGAAAAATATTTGGAATCTAACATTAAAGCACAAAAACAATTCATAATTAGTTCCTTTATAATATTAAGTCCATAATTAGTTCCTTTATAATTATTTGAAATCTAACATTAAAACACAAAAAAGGAATCTAACATTAAAGCACAAAAACAATTCATAATTAATTGATTATTGATTAATGACATGACTCTAAATAAGAAAATCCCTCCTTTGAATTAAACATTCAATATTGCATCACATGTCTACATATACGTACAATCGCATCTAGCCGTGACCAAAGTTTGAGTTCTAGTTCTACATCAGTTTTCATTAGTTCTCCTTAGGCGACACATTGGCTTAGTCATGAGATTTTATCATTTTATATGATCAGTAGTCACCTATGAATATTTTTATTGATCTGAATCCGTCACTGATGCTAGTGTTAGGGGAGGGGATATCGAGCGGTGCTGGTGTTAGGGGAGGGGTTTACCGGCGGTCGGCTGGGCTGGTTTCATCGGATTATGTGAGGGCAGGGGATGCCGGCGGCTAGGGCAGGTGGTGCCGGTGGTGGGGCTGGCTGGGTTACGGAGTTAGGTTTTTTTTTTTTTCTTAAATTTTCTTTTTTTTTTAAACCGATAAACAGCTGACACGTGTACATGGCCGGCCCCACTAACGGTTTCCATCCAAAAGTCCGTTAGTGGGTGGTGAAACCAAAATTTTGGGATTTTTGGTGGTGTTATAATAAAACTTTTTTTTTTACAGGTGTTATTATCAAAATCGGGGTGTTTAGCAAGTGTTATTTTCTAATTTGGCCGTTTTTTATTGATTTAAAATCTTATTTGTAACACTATAATTATATATTCGAATTGCTCACTAAATAAACATAAGATAGTGTACAACAATTATATAGTACTCGGTCACTACACATGAATGAATCTAAATGTTTTATTTTATAAATATAAATATAATATGATATAATTTAGTACTCCGTAGTAGATATGAGCATAGTTCCTTAAAAAAAAAAAGTAGATATGAGCATAGTTTCATAATTGCATAACAGTAATAAGACAAGCATATGAATTAAGCTAGACTGGAGACTAAACTATTAAATGAAATAATTGGAATAGGGTTGTTAATTTCATGGATTAACAATAAGCTAATATTACTCTAATAATGTTGTTAATCAATTTTATGGAATTATTAAAATAGTATTGGATCATGAAACTCAATTATTAAAGTTAAATTACTCTTTATCTCTTTCAATTCTTAGGCTAATCGGTAACTTAATCCTTTGGGTAAACAGGGAAAAGGATATAAAGATGTAATAACCTCATCAAATATCTAAGTAATAGTTGTAATGAAATGATAATGTTGTTTTTCCTATAATTTTTTATTATATTCTTTAAATCTTATATAAACTACATTATAATCATTTGAGAAGACAATGGAACATTATAAGAACGGTTGATTATAATTTTTATTTTTTCATACTAATAACTAGTTTATGGTCAAGACAACATTCTAAGTTGTTTTAAAAATTATATTCTTTACACTTGCTATTAGATCGTATTCTGTACACTTCTTTACACTGTTGATATGCACGCTAGTTTGACTATTTACTTGATTATTAAATGTAAGGAAACATAATTATATATACTTCTAAATGTTCTAATACATATAGTTTTTGTTGATCTCAACTCTCAAGATAAAATGATATAAAAAAAACATTTCTAATGTAATTAACACGGTCTTATGTCAGTTACATGTAACCCATATTTACCCGATCAAAACTAGTTCCAAACACTCGTATTATCAGCTCTAGTTACATGATAATGTGGTATTTTTGTTGTGAACTATTTTAGTTTTTGACTCATTAATCAAAAATATAGTTTCTATTTATATACTTCGTAGTACTGTGTCATTGTGTGTACTTGTCGGAAGTCAACACAATTAATCTTTTATCAATAATCAATTGTTATAATTTAACTTATTGGTATTTATAATATCACAAAATTTTATATTTCGGGGTACTTATTATGGGGTTATTCAAGGGTTATTGTAATATCCTAGAAATTCCTTTCCTTAAAAAAAATACTTGTTTTTCCCTTTTTAAAATACGAAATAGGAAAATCTAAGACTATCTTTTAAACCATCCAAACAAATCAACTTAAAAGTCAAACCAAACGAAAGTAAAGTCAAACCAAAATAAAAAAAAAGTCAACCTACAACTTGGAACCATTGTAGGCCCTCATAAAAACCGAACAATACTCAAAACCCTTTGTGTTAGTTTCACAAGCATGATAAAATAAATAATATTCAAAGCAAATAAAACACATCATATTCCTATGGAATCTAAGCATGATTCTCTCTTCACTCATACCCATCATGAATATGCTCCCATCACCTGAAAAACTTCTTTCTACTTGTCCCCACTACTCAGTATTAATTTGGATGGAGTTTTACCGCTTATTAAGAAAATTTTGTCAACAACTACCAATTTAAGCCTCTGTTTTGAAAACAACTACCTTTTAAATTTTTTTTTTTTTAAAACAACTACCACAAACTTGTAAAAAGTTAGAGTAGCACTACTGTAACACCCTAGAAATTCCTTTCCTTAAAATACCAAATTTTGCCCTTTTAAAATACGAAAAAGAAAAATCTAAGACATTACTGCCACCGTAAAAATGGCTAAGGCAAATATCAAAGACTCACACAGTGAAAGACTTTCTTTAAAACCATTAAAACAAGTCAACTTAAAAAAAGTCAAACCAAACGAAAGTAAAAGTCAAACAAAGTCAACCTACAACTTGAAACCATCGTAGCCCCTTAAAACCAAACAATACTGAGAACCTTTGCGTTAGTCTCATGATCAATTAAATAAATAATACTTAAAGCAAATAAAACACATCACATTCCTATGAGAACTAACCATGATTCGCTCTTCACTCATGCCCTTCATGAATATGCTTCATCACATGAAAAGATTCTCTTTACTTGTCCCTACTACTCGCCATTAGAAATGGATCGTCGTAGGGCCAAGGTAAAGACAAGGCCAACCAAACATCCAAACACACAGTCAGCTACATAAACGTAATAAAAACACACTAACATGCTTTCATCCTATCATCACACAACTTACCGTGTTACACCTGTTTGCAAGCATACAAGACACCCAACACCTAACTAGACAAATACCAATGTTCATTTAAATTTGATTACGCATCGAACGGGTTTCCCCCTAACCTGCCCCAATAAAGGGGTACTAACACGGGAGCTAACCGTGAAAGTATAAAATTAACCACTTGTAAGTGGCGGAATTCATGCGCATAATAAAAAGGAAAATACAGCGTCCTGTACTCCAGTAGAAGTTATGGTCAAATATAAAGTCGCATAACTCCTCCCATATGTTCATACTCAAGGTATATACGTTCCAACAATTTTCACTACTGGAAAACACCCGATTTACGACGGAAAAATTCCGTCGGTACACCTTATAATTCCATCGGAAATGGCTATTTCCGACGGAATTCCGTCGGAACACGTTGTCGGAAAACTTTTTGTAGGAAAAACGGCCATTTTCGTCGGAAAACACTATTTCGACGGAATATTTTCGTCGAAAAAGGTTTTTCAGGTACCGGAAAATCCGTCGGAGATTTCTGATGGAATTTAAATCCGCCGGAAATTTTCGACAGAAATTCCGTCGGAAAATATAATTTAAAAAAAAAAAAAAAAAAAACCCCAACCACCACCCCACCCCCTTCCCCCACCACCCAACCCCCCACGCCCCACAACCCCCACCCACACCCACCCACGCCTCACAACCCCACCCACACCCACACCCACCCCACCCCGTAACAAACCAGATCCCTATTCCACCTAGCCCACCCACCCACCGTAACCACCCAACCCACCCTACACCGTAACCACCTTCCACCCACCACACCCAGCCCACACCATAACCACCTTCCACCCAGCCCACACCGTAACCACCCCACCCAGCTGAACCACCCAGCCCAAATCGGGAAAAAAAAATTAAAAAAAACGAAAAATTTTGAAAAAAAAAAACAGATCTAAGCCAATTTAAACCAATAAAGATCACAAAATTATAAACAAAATAAATTGAAACCAAAACAAATCCATACACATTAAGAAAATGAACAAATACAAATCGAAACCAAAAATAACAGATCTATGCAAATTAACAAAAAAAATTACAAAATGTAAAAACAACGAACGAATTTTCTTGAATTTGAAACTTGAATTTGCTTGAACAACGAACGAATTTGCTTGAACGAACGATTGAAGGTGTTGTTGTTGATGTTGCGGTTGTTGTTATTCCGGTTGTTGTTGTTGCGGTTCGTTGTTGATGATGATGAATACAAAGAAAGAGGAGAAGGAGAAAGGAATGAGGAAGAAGAGGAGAGAAGGAGGAGAAGGAGAATGAGAGGAGAGAGAAAGAGAAGAAGAGAGGAGAGATAAGGAAAGCGGCTGTCAAAAAAAAAAGGAGAAGAGGCGGAGAGATGGGTGGGT